CGCTCGACAAAATCCTGCTGGATATTTTAAACCTATTTAATTTTTTGCTCGAAGAGCTTTTCACAAATGTAAGAGACATTTTTTTGAAAAGCTTGTAATGTTTAATGAGAAAATCGGTAGTTTTGTTTTCGATGGTGAAATCATGCCAAAAGTGGGCTCGCATCAAGCAATTTTGACTACTATAATTTTATTCAATGACAAGAATCACGTCTGTACTCTCTCTCTGGGCGTGATTTTGGCGAAAAATATATTCTGGAAAAAACCATGTGTCATTCGATTCAGTTTTTTATACTGATATCGAATCGCATATGCACTTTGTCATTAAATAATTCTCATTAAACATTACCAGTTTTTCAAAACAAAAAATGTTTTATAATTTTGCTCTCTGGCTCTTAACGGTTCCAATGATGTTTGACATTTCAGAAAAATTCCTCAAGCAAAAAATTATATAGGTTTGGAATATCCAGGAGGATTCTGTTAAGCAAAGGAACAATAATCAAACACATTGAGATATATACATTCATACTCCTCTTTGTGAAACACGACCTAAAAGGAATATTGAAGTATATTGGATAGATATTTTCACCCCCCTCCAAAGACCATGACAGACACCTTAGCAACTTTCCCCTCGGCGTCACAGACTGTGTTCACATACGATCAAATAACGTTTCGTTATAATATATGAACTACTTTCTTATGGCATTTCTGGAGGATTAAGTAAAACGATGGTGAAGAAATATGTCACAGAATCAATAAAATAAAACAATCTCCCTATGATTAGCAACAACAGCTATATCATGTTTCACATTTTAATCCCATAGGGATTGTGTTGACAATGTTTTTTATGTTGAATTAGAATAAAAATTCTGTTATCGACTTTCCAAATATAGCTTGTACTATGAACATTTCTCGACGAGAATAAGGTTACACGAGATTAAAAATATGATACTCGGAAACAGATTCATGAGTTCTATTATATGATGTAAAATTCAACGAAATGCATTTTTTGCACTATGATTTTAAATTCTGAGCACCTTAGATAATAACAAAAACTCGGATGCGCATCGAACATGTTTCTAATCTCATTTTCTAAGCAGGAAAACATTTTCCAATACAAAATCAAAATACAAATCCAATTTCTTCTTACCTTTCCATCAAGATCTAAAGCATTGAAAGCACTTTGTGATTCATCATATACAACAGTTTGATCAATTTTAACAGAAATATTTTTCCAATAACGTACAACAGCTAAATCATGCCATTGATAATCATCAAGTACACTTCCAGCTTGAATAACTGTTGCACCTGGACGTTCAGGAGTTGAACCTATACGGAAAAAAAAGAGAACATTTTATTATAATTTCTTTTTTTTTCTTTACAACAATTAAGCAAATAAAAAGAAAGTCATACCTAAATCAATTCCAACAAAAATACTTCCATTACGAAGTTCAACAGTTAAATAATCATTATTTTGTGTTCCTTTAGCATAAAATAAAACTCCATTTGGAAAATTTGTTTTAAAACGTAAACGTAATTCATCTTGTTGATTATGTAATGGAATAAATGTTGCATCATAATAAGAAATTGTTTGTCCATCAAATGTAAATGATGA